TCTCTCCTCCCTCCCCCTCCCCTCCTCTCTCTCTCTCTCTCTCTCTCTCTGTTTTCCCAGGTGGCTAGTAGGTTGGTTTAAGGTCGCTAAAGCTAAGGTGGTTACGCCCGGCCAAACTAGGGCATTTTGAGGATGAGCTTTCCTCGACGTGGATCTGTTTAAACTACACACCACCACCGACGTAATAAATTTTTTATATGCGGCCGAATGACCGATACAAATTTTCCTCGCGTTTTTATGTTTTCAGGAGTTTATAGATGCAATATCGGTGCAAATCAGTCTGATTGGTTGCATGACAAATTTCAATGACGAATACGTCGGAAGTGAAGCTTGGAATAAAAGTAATCATTTTAATCTATTATTTAAAAATTCTAAGATAAAAAACAAAATTTTGCTGAAAATATATATTAAAAAATATATATTGTACGTTCTGTACATTGACAAAAATTAATGAAAAGTAATTAGATAATGACTTATCTTGTTAAAATTATTTTTTTCAATTTTTATTAATGCAACAAAAATTAATTATAACACAAAAAATGAAACATGAAAATGCGAGTCCATCTTGGAGAGATTAAAACTATTTACAAGAATACATTTTAAGTGCACAAAAATTCGTTTCAACAAAATTCTATCTTGAAACTTTCAATCGTTTGTATTATAGTATAAGCCATCTCATTTCTTTCACAAGACGAACTCTCTTTAGCTTGCGAGCATCTCTATTCCCGCTTCTCTCCAGTGATCCAATAAAACCGTATCGATTCACGAGGTGACTAAATCCTCGAGTAAAAATTACTTTTAAGCAAATCTCCGGGATCTCATTCTACCTGTAACAACTGGAGGAGAGTAATGAAAGTGAGCTCCCTGGTGAAACTCATCTGGAACTTATCATTTTACCCGCTCCCTCCTCCTCTCTCTCTCTCTCTCTCTTTTTCTCGGAATCCGCTCACGACATTTCTCCGTCTTCTTCATCCCTACCTCATCCACGGCTTTTCCGCGGCTCGTTAAGAAGAGGAGGACTACGCCACCCGCCGTTGTTCTCGGGTTTCCGCCCCGTTCTTTCAAGCACCAAGTGAGGTTCGAGTCGGTTCACCGTCATCTAGTCCCTGATACCATCGCGCCTTCCCACCCGGCCTATTTTATGACAATCCATTTCCGAGAAAGATGCTTCCGCGCGAAAAAAGCTCGCGGTTTACTTAACACACCATGGAATGTCCAGAATGTTGTTTGTCTTTAATTAGAAAGCCAGTTGGAGCGCCCGTGTTCTTGAAGGGTGGAAGAGTTGTCAAGAAGAAAATTATCAATCGCGAGTTCATTCGAAAGCCGAAGATAGAAATGAATGCCAACGGACATATATATAGTTCCGTGTGATTGTTGGTTTTTCAGCGTCGACGCTCTTTTCCAGCGAGCCACATTTTGCGATAATCCATTTCGCGAAAGGCTGGCGAGACCGCGAGAAGACTCGTAGTTTACATAGCGCACGAACCGACGTTTGTCTTTAATTACAAATGCAGAAGCCAACATTCGCATTAATGATTCTCTAAGAGAATTAGATCGTGGCGATATTAATTATACCTGGCGAATTCCGAGAATAACAATCCGCCCGCCATGTTTTATTGAACATTTGCATGGTGTTCGCTTTGAATCTTCTTCAAATTTTCACTCGCTTACTCCGTGTTTAATTTCTTTGTTATTAACGTTATTCCTTCTATCTAATTATTTTTTTTAGCTTTATTATTATTATCATCGTACGAGCATTCGATATTTTTAATTTGAACGTGAAAAGGGACGATGCTTCCGTACGTTCTCTTTCTGTATAAATACATTATGAGATTTCAGAAATATTTTCAGGAATATTTTTCAATACATTCTTCAACGCGAGGTATTTGATGCGCTCTTATCCCTCTCTTTCATTCGCAAATATTGCAAAATACTTGATCCGCGTATGCGCATCGAATACACTCACCTGTCCCACCACAGCGATAAAAACGAAACCTCGCTCCAGATAAAGGTCATGTTCGGCCACTGCTGTAGCTTCGAGACCATGTTATTTAGGATGCTCCTCGTGGAACTGTGGAAGTATTGCTCGAACGTCTTCAGCCATCCCGGATCGGTGTGACTGTGAGGCACAAGGATAACCTGCAACAGAGAAACGCGATATCGTCGTGAGTTTTATCAGAAACGTGCCGCAAATAGCAATATGCGCTGGGACGTGTAGGTTAATGCTACCCTTTCACAAAATACAACCGGAAGCGTCGCTGAAGAGCCCTGGTAAAAGCAATAATTAATCGCGACGCGGAATGTTCGCGGTCGAATTTCATCTGTTCTCGCGAGTCGAGATATAACTACTAAAATTTGTTTCGCGCAAAAATTCAATTCGCTTCCTACATTTGCGCTCTACATTATTTATTATGTTATTTCCGTTTCCCGTTACATTTATTGTAATCTGATTATTTTCCATGTTCACATCTCGAAATATGTCTTCTGACAAGTTTGTAAGTTTATAATTCGGTTTTATTTAAATGGATAAAAAAAAAAAAGAATAGAATGAGAAATGACAGAAGAGTTTTTCAGGGACGAAAAAGTTGTTAACGAAGCGAGTTCCGTAAATTAATGGCTGATTTATACCGTTCGTTAACCGTTGAAGGTTAAGTCGCTAAAGGCAGGATAATCAATCGGATAGGATTTTAATCCGCGATGCAGTCGGGCAGACGATGCCGTCCTCCCCCCCCCCCCTTCCCCCGAAGGTTTCCAGATCGACCGTCTAATTCTCGCACTCGTTAATCAGGATCTTTCCGAGTGATCTATTGCCGGATAGTATAATCCAGTCGATCCCGATTTTCGCCCGGCAACAGCGTTGCTAACACGGGAGCTTCGTTAATTAGCCGGAGCGACATCGACATCCGGCTGACGACGTTATAACGACGGTGTAATTGATACAGTGCCGCGTCTCATCGCTGGTGATATACGTATTCGCAATAACGGCGAAATGGACCTGCAGATCTCGCAGAAACGATTTGCGCAATTTTATTAGTTTACCTTTGGTAGACTCGCGCTCTCGGCCGCGCTTTAAAAAGAGTGTTTCAATCTGTCTCGAGTGTCGGCGTGTCGATATTTGGAGCGGAGTGCGAACGACATTCCTCTTTTTTTCCCTCTCTTCCCCTCTTCACCCTTACACTCCTCCCCTGTCCACTCCTCCCCCCCCCCCCGAACGGACTCGACCATGCGGGTGTGCGCCGCGGCGTGATTTTATTGCTGCTCGCTTTGTTGCTAATATTTCGCACTGGAATGCAATTAAAGTGCGATCGAATTTTTAAATCGCGAGAGCGGGACGCCAATGTAAGCTGAAATATTTCTGTCTGGTGTAGCGCTCCCTTCGTGAAAACAATAACTATTAGAATGACGAGTGATTTCGTCTAATTGCAAAAATTAAAAATATCTATCGCCGAATGGTGTGAATACGCGAGAGGGAAGACGCTTGATTACTTTTGATTGTAATTTCATCTGATTTAATTTATAATTAAGACTCGATTCGCCTTTCATCGTATATTCATGTAGAGAATACTTTAACAGGTACATGATAAGTTCGATCGATCCTCGGATAACTCGGTCGTAATAATGTCTCCTCTCTCTCTCTC